GGAGTATCTTAGATGGCTGCTCACAGGCTTTTAAGACCCCAGACGCTACTCACCAAGGTAGAATGTAGAACATTGTCTTTATAAACTGTGTTACACCAGTTGAGCTGGGTGTTCCCGGTGATCTCCTAATTTTTGACCATACAATTTTTTTTTTAATACAGAAAATTGTTTTTGAATGTGTACACCCAAGATGTGTATTTTATTTACATATATACACACTCACACACTTACCAGTATGTAATAAAATTGTAAAAAATGAAATTTAAGGAGGATAGGATAGAGATAGAAGTATTTCTAATTTAATTTCTGGTGTTTTCTTCCTGCACCTCAGTGGATGGTCTTAAAAACCCAGTTTGGAAATCACTGCTATGTGTTAAGGACTTAGGGCCTTTTGAAGTTCTTTACTTCATTTTTACTGACTCTCTAGAAGGAGAGGCTAGAAATGCATATAGTCAGTATGTCATGTTAGACTGGAAACACTGTGAAATACTCTTAGTAAAGAGGACTTTTATATTCAGAGAAAACAGGAGAATGCACCCCCTTCATTCTGCCACTGTCTTCCTCAGAGGTAAGTGCTTCTAACAGTTTGGTGTGTATCAATGCAGTCTTCCAGACATTTCTCATATGCACATGTGCACATTTATACACGCACATCCGTATCTGTATATATAAAATAGGAATGACACTCCATGGGTTTCGCTGGGATGGGGTTTATTCCACTTACTCTGTGGAGAGAAGCCTAATAACCTAGTCGTTATGAGCGTGGACTCTGGAGTCAGGCTACCTAGGCTTTTGTCCAGGCTCTGCTGCTTACTAGCTGACCTTCATCTCTCTGCTTCAGTTTCCTAGTCTTATAAATAGCGATAACGGAAGCACCTACCACAACGTTGTTGTGAGGATTAAATAAATGTTCAAATATGTAAACTTCCTCTGCTATTTGGATAATTACACTGGAAGCTTTGGAAGGATCTTGGCTTATTTTACATTCTGAAGTTGGACTGGGCACAGTGGGTGATACTGGAAATATCTTTTTAGGCGCCTTGTTTCTTTGTGACTTGTTCTGTTAGACAGTTTTCCTACTTTTCTTTTTGAGGCGGTGTTTGCTGCCCTCTAGTGAACCAGCTGGTTTTCAGGTGCTTCTTGGCTGAGAATGTTCTGCTGAAAAAACTTGTCCTTAATATTTACAACACATGTCATTTGTCAGCGCTCCTAAAAAATTCTGTGTGCATCCACAGCCCTGTTGTAAATTTTGCAAATTATTGTTTAAAAATTTTGAAGAATTAATTTTCAGATATGTGGAGAAAGAATAAAGGTTCTTATTATATAAATTCCAGCACATAGCTTTCTCTTTATTCTGTTTTTCTAGCGGTGTCTATTTAACTGGGAAACCAAAGGCTATAATTCTTTATTAGAATTCTTCTTTTGAAGAGGTTGGGAGAGTCATGTCCACCAAGTTGGTATCCTAAAAGTATGGCTGATTTGTTGCTTAGGGAGTAAATCAAAGTCAAAGCAACCTTTCTCAAATTAAGGCCATGGAAAGACATTCTGTATTCATGGATTGGAAGACTTTAATATTGTTTAGATGACATTATTCCCCGAATTGATTCACAGAGTCAACTCAATCTGTCAGAATCCCAGCTAACTTACTTGCAAAAAATTGACAAGATCATTCTAAAATTCATATGGAAATATAAGGGACCCTGATTATCCAAAACAGTCTTAAAAAAGAATAACAAAGTTGGAGGACTCACACCTCCCTATTTCAGAATTTACTGCAAAAGCTACAATATTCAGAACTGTGTGTTATTGCATAAGAACAGACATACAGATCTGTGGAATGGAATTGAGAATCCAGAAATAAACTCATGTATCTATGATCAAACGTTTTTGACAAGGCAACCAAGATCATTCAGTTGGAAAAGAATAGACTTCCCAATAAAGGGTGCTGAGGCAGGTGGTTATCCACATGCAAAAGAATGAAGTTAGACCAGATACAAAAATGAGCTCCAAATAAATCAAAGACCTAAGAGTATAAAGTTTTTAGGAAAAAACATAATTGTAAATCTTTGTGACCTCAGACTAGGCAGTGCTTTCTTAGATGTGACACTAAAAGTACAAGCACCCAGAGAAAAAAATAAATTGAACTTCATCTAAAGTAAAAATTTTTGTGCTTCAAAGGATACTGTCTAGAAAGTAAAAGGACAGTCCACAGAATGGGAGAAAACATCCACCAGTCAGCTATCTGATAAAGGTCTAGTATCAAACCTAGGCCAAGTCCTCATTTCCCCTCTCCTTATTAAATTTACATTGTTATATCAGTGCAGTTGAATTCATTATTACCACATATATTTTTAATGAATTTATCTATGATCATGGGTCAAACCACCTTCCCTGGCCTCTACCCACGAAGGAAATGCTGAGTACTGTCCTACAATATTTTCCAGGGGAAATGAAACCCAAGATTCTAGATAAAAGCATAATTTAGAAATAATCTGAAGCTTGAAAATTATAGTTTAATAGATGAAAGGGGAAAATATATTAAATTCACATCATCAGGTAGTTATTATTGTTATATTGCTGAATTTATGGTTCACCTTTTCAGTGTTCCTGTCATATGAAGTAAAAATAAAATTCTTTGGGTGTCACATGTCTTTTCAGCCAATCAGGAGCCAGGATTATTTTTTGTATGTCATAATTGAGTTTATTGTTGGGGGAGGAGCTGTAAGTAGGACTCAGGAGATAAAGAGGGCCACATATTAGGGCTTCTTAGTTGTAGCAAAGAGAAGATTGGTCTGGTTTGTTTAGCATTTTCAAATTTGAGTTCTGACCCTAGAAATGTGCAACCCTATCTTTTTAATTATAGGTTTTGAAATGTTATTTACTCTTAATACTTCCTCAGGTAGCAGCCTTGATCACTTCTTCTACTTTTGATGAAGCAGTTTAATGGGCTGTGAAGGAAAGATTCCCAAATAGTAAAGGAGATAGAGAATTTTATGAAAATGTCTTCAAGGTTTCAGTCATCATCACCGATTTTCTTCTCACCGGGGCCAGTTGATTTAGGTTCTGTAACAAATTCCTCTTGTTCACTGAATGAGCTAGACAGTATTTCACATCTTTTAAGGAAAATCTCAACTGATATCAATGAAATTAAAGGAATGAAGGCAGCAATTTTGACAGTAGAAGCAAATCTTTTTGATCTGAATGTTAGAGTATCACAGAACGAAGCAAAAATTTCATCTTTGGAGGTTAAAATGAATGAATATTCAGCATCTACATCTGAATGCAGCAGACAGTTTGAAGATCTTCAAGAGGAACTAGACTTTGAATCACAGTCAAGGACTACTGATATAAAAATAATTGGCTTCCTTAGAAACATTGAGAAAGGTAAACTCTTTGTAGTACACAGTATCTTCTAGGTATTCATCCTTTATATCATTCCACTGTAGCTGAGTGGAGGCAGCAAGTCATAAAGAACTTGAATTCTTCATGGACCTTTAATGACAAATTTGAACTCTACGTGATTTAACCTAGAAGCCTACCTAGAGTTTATCAGAATTCTGTCCTTGATTAGTGTTTTGAAAAGGTAGAGGAGTGTAAAGATGAAGCCAAACTTGAAATGTGAGAGAATGGTTTTTTCATGTATCTGAGCGAAATTACTTTAAAATGTTTAATTTCTTCATTCACTGTTCATGTTAAAGAGCCCTGTTGTAGCATTTGAACCTAGTACTTGGATCGGAAGAGCTTTCTTAATAATATTTCAGTATTTTGAACCCTATGAAGTACATCCCTTTGTACACTGTGGTGTAACGTGTTTGTTTTAAATCAGCGAGTGCGTGATATCTGCTAAGCACTCTGGTTTCCAGAGAAGATTGATATCCACCCATCCCTCAAGGAGCTTACCATCAAGCCTTGTATGAAAATTGCAAACATACCTAAGCTGGAGAAGATCAGTCGTAGGTCACTGTTTTGTTTTTCGTATGGTTATTAGGGAATTATGAACCTGTTTAAGGAATAATAAATGCTATAGATTGAGCTGAAGAAGGACATCATGCTTGGTAGAGTAGAGGATCAGCGAAAGAGGAAGACCCTCAATAAGATGGATTGACACAGTGGCTGCAACAATGGGCTCAAACACAACAATGATTGTGAGGATGGCACAGGACCAGGCAGTGTTTTGTTCTATTGTACACAGGGTCGCTATGAGTCAGAACCAACTAGACAGCACCTGACAACAATGTAGCTTGAGCATCTATCCTTATAGGTGATCCAAATGATGGTTTTTATGCTTTGCAGATACGGGATCTGGACCACAGAGCTCTGAGTGACATACTTGTTCATTTTAGAAGTTTGCCTTTTGGGAACTCCATGACCATATAACAACTGGAGTGTCTTGTTTTATATTGTAATTCCAATAGGTTTTGTTATCTTAAAAGATGAGGAGTGAGGGGACAGTAGGGAGTGGGAAGGTGGGTTGTAATGGTGAGAGCTCAGGTGCTCGAGGAAGGTGTTTGCAGTTGGCTGTGTTCCATCTCCCATGGCGGGTCCGTGAAGTACCTTCCCCTAGCTTTTCCACCCTTTCTATCTTTATCTCCACCATTTACCTCCAGTTTGAGAATACTGACTTCCTGCCGTGGGAGGACCAGAAGTGTCCTACGTTGTAATTTTTGGTTCAACCCTGAGTTCAGCTTTTTGGCCCATAAGATATGCTTTTTTTTTTTTTTGTAAATATTATTAAATTATGTCCCTGAAGCTTTAAGTTATTTCTTAGACTTTCAGTTAAGAACCCAGAAAGATTATTTTTGGCTTAATTTCTGGGAAACACGTATTGGTATAGTTTGTTCTTTAAGTTTAGTGAAGTTTTAAAATTTATATTCTAGGACCTCAACAAAGGCAGTTGCTTTCCCGACTGCAAATTGATCCAGTAATGGCAGAAACTCTGCATATCAGTCAAGGTTGGTAAGAATCCTAAGTTTTCATTGTAGTCTAGCATTTTCAGTAGCTATTTCCACCTCATTTAACGTTCTTGTATGCCTCAGGTCTGCCCTGACGTGCTGTATTTAGATCTGTGAAAATCCTGGAGGGCTGGGAGACAAGGTCGCGTTTTCCTCATGTCACGTGGTGTTTGTGTTTCCACCTCATTCAGAAACTTCCTTTCTTTGATGCTCTTCCACCCAGGTCCCTGCCATCTATGGGCTGTGTGCTCCTTGCCTATCAGGGACGACTGAGTTCCTAACCTGTTCTCTCCCTCTGTACCCAAGTCTTCTCATTGCCCTGAGTTGCTTTAGCATCCTTTCTTCGGCCTGTTAACCTTACCTCCAGTGACCCGCACTTTTACTTCAGTTTAGAATCTCATCACCAGGGCCACACCCTAGTACTTCTTGGAACCACTGTAATTTAGTTTACCTGTGTCCCCTGTCCCCAGTGCACACTGACACACACACCATGAGCTACTTTAGGACTGGATCCAGTACCTTATTTATCTCCATTTCCTCAGTGCCCAGCCCCTGCCAGATGTCTCTTCAGAGTTTGATAAATGCCAGATAAATAAAGGACACCGGTGGATACCTGAAATCTCAAATTCACAACTCTTTTCTCCTGCTTCCTTCTGTTTTCCCTAAGCCTGCCCTTCGTTGGAAGCTCTGGTCCCTTGACTCCACCCTGTCAGCTTCCTGAATTTTCTTCCCTCTCAGTTAGGACTCCACAGTTAGTACTTCTATCCCTGACCCTTCCCTGGCCTCTGTCTCAGAGAAGAGAGGTGTGCTTGTCCCCTGTGAGGCTCACCCACCACCCAGATGCCAGATCCTAACCCATTTGCTGAACATTCTGATGTCACCACACGCCTGTAGCTTTTGTCTCTGCTTCTCCTTGCTGCCTACTAGAAGTGTTTAGATGTTCTGCATCCTTGATTTTGTCCTATCATCTCCAACATTCCGTCCTGCTTTCTACGTAAGAACATTTTCTTTCAAAGAGTTTGGCAGCCAGATTCTGTGTATGTTGTGTCCATTTCATAAGCTTTTGCTCATTTTTTCTTTTCTGTTTCCTTTAGATTTTATTTTTATCCAAAGTGTACATATAGTTGGAAGTGTCAGGTAGTTCTGTGAGACTTACTACAAATGACTGCAGTCCTTCACTTAGCTCCTGTCCTGTTTTTTATTTCTGAGAGCACTTTTGTTTCTTCATGTTCCTTTTTTATTTCTTTTTTTAATTTTAAGAAGACTGATTTTGTTTCATGGGTACAGTACCTTTTGTAAAGATAGATTTTGGTATTTTTTCCCTCCCTCTTTGGTCTTGTTTTCTCCAGGCTGTTTGTTTTGACTGCTGTCTTTCATGATAGATGTTTTCTTCAGATGTCTGAGGATCCTTGGCTGGACACTTAAATGATGATTGGTGTTCTTGATTCATGAGTCAGGGGAGCTTTTGACTTCAAATTTGAATGTAGATCTGCCATGGAGAATGATTTGTCTTGGCTCTAGTTTGGGGGAACCCCTGACATCAGTGTCTTTAGGCCTTTCCTCTTAGGTTGGTCAACGTCTCCAAAGAAGGATATTTCAGACGATGCCTTGGCTGCCAGAGCTCTGGAGCCAAGTAGAGAAAGGGCTGGGAAGGCGCCTCAACCCCAGTTAGTATGTAATGTTCAGTTAACAGCTCCCATTTCTGCATAATAGGTTTTTCTTCAGCATGATTGCTGGCATCTCTCTGTTTTTACCTCCGCAAGGATCCAAAGCTTCACTTTTATCCGTGGGAGAATGTATGAAATTAGCAAAGGTTATCAGCAACTCAAACTCGTTTATTTTAATAGTATGTATTTGGTTTGTTTTTATTGTAGCGTCTTGCCATCAGAGACCATGATGCTTCACCCATAGGCCTCTCCAACAGTGATCAACAGGGAAACACATCTCTAACCTCTCCAAATATGTTCAACTTAGAGTTAGGGGAATAGGCGTGATATGTATCAAAGACAAGAAAAGAGATAAATAGAATTAGAATTTAGGAAGAACTAACTGCTTCTTAAATAGACACTCTTTAACTAGTCCTTTTTGCCCAATCTTCTCCCCCACCTCTTCCTGAAATCCACTGTGCTGCCAGTTCCTCAGCCCATGGAGGATTTGGGATCTGAATTGCTCCGTGACTGGCTTAGGATTCAGCTTTTGCGGATCTACTAAGTTAGTTCCTCCCTTCTATCTGCTTTCCGTTTTTAAAATGCTATGGTGGTTTCTCCTTTACCAGTTATTTTCTTTGTGGGTTTATGACCGCCCCCCCACCCCCCAACCCTTTACTGGCATTTTAGTGGGGTTTCAGAAGGGAGCAAGAGTAAATGCATGGGTTCAGCCTGCGGTCTTTACCCAGAAGATCTCATTTACTCTCCCAGCTGTCTGGTTTCCACTTGACCCAAGCTGTTGATGTTATCCTTTACAGAGGTGGCCAACGGCTCCTGAAGACTGTGAAGATCTGTTTTCAGTGCTCACCTTCCTAAAATCTATAGCATGTAACACTTTCCCAGGTTTTCTTCAGTCTTTTGATCCTTTGGCTTCCAAGACTTCACTCTCTTCTTATTCTCCTAATTGTTCCTTTTCATTCTCCTTTATCAGCACCTCTCCTCCTCCACTGCCCTTAAAATGTTGACTTTACCATATGTCCTGTTCTCAGCAATATTTTCATCTCCACATTCTTGCAAGATGCAAACTAGTAGAAGCATTTGGCCTCAAGAAGTGGAGGGTGGTGGGAAGGAGTCCAGTGGCCCTTGGACCAAATCCCGGGCTCCACCACGGCTGGCCAGGAGCCTTCAGTGCATCATTGACTGAGCTGCAGATTGGTCATCTGTACCGGGGCAAAATCTACTTCTTAGGCTTTGTGTGAGGACGGGTAGGTGAGAGCAATGTCTAGCACTGAAGATGTACAGCTTATTGAACCCTCTTATTTTACCTTCAGAGTCGACATTGCTTGTCTTCTTTCCCTCTTCTACTGAGGGTCGTCTGAATTTTCACCTTTTTCCTAAGTATCTGCCTGAGAGTGCCACAAACTAAACAAATCTAAAATGAAACGTATCTTTATCTTTGCCCCCTTTTAAATCTGCTCTTTCTCCTTTCCTTTATTTCCTGTTTCCATAAATGGCATCATCATCTGCCCAGCGTCTCAGGTTTCTCCTCCTCCTCCTGCTGTGTCTCTGTCTCTCTCTGCCATCTTTGCTGCCCCCTCTGGGATGGTGGTTGAAAACTGCAGCTGCTGTGAGCTGCTCCTGCTGATGGGAGCGTGGTGTGTGTCTTCTCTTCCTCTTAGCTGTGTTAGAGTAGAACAAGGGGTTGAGAATCTTTTAACTCAGCCTCACTGTCTCTTGTGGGCAGCAGCCTCTTAACTGGTATCTAGGACTTCAGTCCATTCCTAGTTCTGTTTCCCTAAAAGCTAGTTTAATCATGTCACCTCCCTAGTTAGAAACCTTTCTGGATACTTCCCTACTTAAAAACCTTTCTTGATTCCTTATTACTTCTAGACCAAAATCTAAACTCATTAAGACATACAAGACCCTGCATTATACGCCTCAGCCTTTCTTGCCACTCACCTGCTGGACCTACCACACACGCCCTTCCAACCACATCACATTTCTCACTACTTCTCAGACTTCTTGTGCCTTGTCATGGCCCTTGCCTTTCTCTGCAAGGTTTCCTCTGCCTGGAATGCTCTACTTGCTCTCCAGCGCATACTCTTCTTCCAGTTTATTTCTGCTCTTTCCCTTAATACTTGCTTCATATGTTCCATCCTTGGTAAACGTTTCCTTAATTTTCCAGAATTAAGTAGGTTCCTTTGTATTCTTCCAACACCTTGTTCATACCCTTTTTTGGGCCACCTTTTGGGTCATGCTGTTCTGAAAATTACATATACGTCTATTTTTCTACTTTTTTCTTTGCGTACCTAGCAGAGGGCTGTTCGGTATTCAGTAAATATTCGTTCAGTGAATGAACACAAATATTTATTCTGTGAATTTCGGTCCCTGTTATTTAGCTGTTTAAAAGAAGTACAACTTGTTAATTTTTTTGTCAGTTGATGGCATATTGATATGCCACCCATATCCATCCTAGGCTGCAGGTCTTGCATGTTTTATAAAGTGGACAGGCTTGAAAAGTAAGTTGTAGATGATGTTAGCTTGTGGCTATTTGCATTGAAGGTCAGAATATTTTCCTTGCCATGTCTTTGTAAATACTCTCATCTTAAAATTCCTTTTCCAAGTAATTCTCTACCTACAAACAGGTAGAAATTACACAAATTCAATATTTCCTCAAGATGTATTCTTGTTTGTAAGTGGTACTGTCCAAAATGATCAAAATCGATTTTAAAAAGCAGTTAAACAGTCTGTGTATCATAACTGTGTGTGTTATAGCATTAGGACTCTTAGATTATCCATGTTTTTAGAAAAGCTTGTACTTAAAGTAAGTGTATATTAGTAATAATATCCCATTAGATACCTCACAGAAGCTCTTTGTATTGTGGGCAGGGAGTGTTAATTAGAATCACTTGGTAATGTGCCAGCTGAGGAAAAGAGTACCTGAGTTCTCTGAAAAGGTGTCTGGCATAGAATCACAGCCTATTCCTGAGGAGAACCGATTGTAATTTTCCTTTGAAAATAATCATGAATATGTAAAAGACTGACCTTCTTCTCACATTGTGTGATGTTGGGGATGCAAGGTATATTCAAAAGTAAACATTTGTGGCCAATTTTTTTGGCTCAGATTACTATGACATGGAATCCATGGTCCATGCAGACACAAGATCATTTATTCTGAAGAAGCCAAAGCTGTCTGAGGAGATAGTAGTGGCACCAAACCACGAGTCGGGGATGAAGACTGCAGATACCCTTCGGGTACTTTCAGGACACCTTATGCAGACTCCACGGTAGATGGTTTTTTTTTTTTCCCTTGTGTAGCTCATTTGTGTTGATTAGATGGTACAGGCTAACCTTAGTTCCCAGCTTCTGCCCTCCTGCCCCAGGCCTCCATGTAGAGTGCTTGTATTGCTGCAACAGTGAGGCCATGCATAGAAGCCAGATTCTATTTTCAAAAAGTCCAATTCATCTTTCTTGTTCAGAAATCAATTAGCCTGCACATAAAAACTCAGTGTATGATTTAGCTGTGTTAATAAGACTTTTGTTTATACACATCCAGGAAATGAAATTTAAAAAGCCAGGTAATTAAAATCAGGAAATTTCTCTAGGGAGAGTTAGCAGATGGGGTTGGGGTGATTTTTTCTCTTAGAAAATGGACAAAATGTTCTATAAAGGAACGAACATACAGATAATAAAATCAGCATAAATATAGAACTGCTGGCCAGTGTATTTGTAGCATAGATGGTATTTTTTAAGTTTATTTCCATGTGACTCTCTGAGGGTCAGATGGACCCAGGGGTCAGTGTTGAGGGGAGATTGTCTCAGTAAGTGCAGGCTGGAGGGTCGTGGATGGGGCTGTCGTAGTGACTGTATGGCACCACGTGTTAGCAGCAGTCCCTTAATGCCGTCCCTGAAGTCCTACTAAGGCTTTTTTACTGGACGAATGTGAAGCAAGTCAGGGAGGGGTAGTTCTGAAGAGCACTTTAGGAGGCACAGCTTTTTGTGTTTGTTTCCCTAATTCTATGGTATTTTCTATCTGTCTGGCAGAGATCTTGTACAACCAGATAAACCTGCAAGTCCCAAGTTTATAGTGACGCTGGATGGTGTCCCCAGCCCCCCAGGATACATGTCAGATCAAGAGGAAGACATGTGCTTTGAAGGAATGAAACCAGTAAACCAAACTGCAGCCTCAAACAAGGGACTCAAAGGTCTCCTCCACCCACAGCAGTTGCAGTTGATGAGCAGGCAGCTTGAGGACCCAAATGGTAGCTTCTCAAATGGTGTGTTGAGAGCTCAGATGATCCCTTTTCAGGGGGCTCTCATTGTGAAGGAATCTTTGACATGTTTCTCTACCTTGAATGAATATTGGTTGGAGGCTTTGTATTTTGTTTGTATCCAGTGGTAGCCTTTTTTATTCCTTCAGACAAAACTACTAGTTAAATTTGAGACTGTGATTGGAGTGCTAACATGGAGTTCAGCCATGGAGCCCTCTTAATTTTGCTTGTTGAAGGATGGATGCTCATTCTTGATGCCTTATTTACTTTTTTTTTTTTTTTTTAAGTACTTATTATTTCCCTTTGTACTAGCAATAGTCTTTCCTGTAACTAATTTGATCTTGAGAGAAAAATTAATTTGGCTTTCGATGCTATTTCTGCTTCAGTGGAATTTTCTTGAAAGGAGTTTCTTGCCTGATTTGTTAAGATACTTGTTGGAGGTATAGAAAGGACTTAATACCTAAAGTTATATTGAAAGGTAATGTTTGGCCGAGACAGATGAACTCAATTCAGATAGCGGCATGCCTCTAGGCAGGTTAACGTTTCTTACGACCGTTTCTTCTCTCACTGGACGCCAGTGGTAGCTAAAGCACCACTGATCATTTTCATTCATGATAGAGAATGATAAGCATGCTCCTCACACCTTCTAAAGTTTTTAGAAAAACCTCTTCACTGTCAGGGAAGATAATTACTGAATCTTAAAAATGCACAGTTTCAAAGAAAAAACAATACAGTAGTAATTACTTCGAAAAATTTCTCAAGTAATCCTTTTTGTGGCATAGTTATGAAAATGTATTGACTGTCTTTTTTAATCATGAAAAATAGACATTAGGAAGAGGTCCTGAGTGAGTGATGGTTAACTAAAAGCCGTACTGCAGTGAGTCAGTATTGGAGTGTCGTGGTTGTGATTGATGGAGGGAGGTGTAACAATGAAAATCTGACCCCTTGATAGAAGGAGGAAGAAGGTTTGTCCCTGAAATATCAAGATCTTTGTATCAGCAGGAAGGAAGACAAAAATGCCAACAGAGGTGGTAAGAACTGTAATGGTCAGGCAGTACAGATTTCTTGATGCCATGTATTTTTTTCTAAAATGAGAGAATTCTTGGGTTTCAGTTTGGTAGAATGATTTTTTTTTTTTTTTTTTTGGTGGGGGTGGCATGCTAGTTTTGTTTCAATGTCGATTTCCGTGTTGGATCCATTGGTGTAGATGTAGTAGGTGGAGACACTATGAATAGCACATTGATGTGAAAACTCTTGGCTAGGTTGTACAGGTGCCAAGGCCGGTACGGAGACCACTGTGGTCAGTGGGGAGCTGCCTGCCCATGGCTTTGATTTAGGCTTCCTCTGCTGCTCAGGGATGAGGCTTTGGCTCTGCATTGCTCTCCGCCTTCAAGCAGGGAGTTTGAAACCTTGTAACTGCTTTTGGTGTAACTGCTGTTTGCTAGTTGTTTCAAAGGTACTACCAACAGAAGCAGCCTCCATTTTAAGCCACTCCCACTAGCCGTTATTCTGTGGCAGCACAGATTTTATAGTTTTCAATATTAAATGAATTTGCTTCTTGAAACTCAAGCAGGAGAAGTTTTAGTAGCTTATGAAATAAATGTTAGTCGGAGGCCTTTGTATATACAACTTAACACATTCCCTTGTATTTAACTTCTTTTATATCGCTCGCGAGTATCCAGCCACCTTACTTACTTTCCAGCCAAGCTGCTCTGTTAGTCTTGTCTCATTTGTACCGGCCTCTCATACATATACCATAGTCTAACGTATGTTCTTTAAGAGCAGGGCACGACACTTTCTTTGCAGGGGTGACAAAAGACCCATTTAAAAGTGGGGGAAACTCCTCCCTCTAGCCCTACCCAGTTTTCTTTGGAACTAAGAATACTTCCATATCCTAGAGCCAAAATAACTTTACTGAGTATGTTTAAAGTACTATGGGAAATTTATATATTGGGTGTAGCCATAATAGTTGTTTGATGATGCTCCTGTCTGAGCTGTGTGGCGGATTTGTGCCTTGTACCCCTATAATGAACACTGAAGCTCAGTCTTCATGACCAAACAGTCGTGAGACCCAGCTTCATGAGAGCAGTAAGCACTCATAATACTAGTTGCTGCTGCTGTTAGGTTACAGTTGGTTGGCTATTTCGCATTCTTTACATGTAGTCATCAAACTCGAAGGAAGACATTATTTTCTTTTCGTATAGATGAAGAAATTGAAGTTTAGAGATGACAGATGACACTTGCCCAGAATGTATATAACTCAGCTAGTAGGTTACAGAGCCAAACTGGAACTGCCTGACCTGAGGCAGATGACTAGAGGAATGGGATTGGAGTGCTACATGACTTCATAAACATGAATATAAACCATGATATGTTAATACTCATGACTTTTTTTTTCTTTTTGGCTAGAGTGTCTTGGGCCAGAAGTTGGCCACTAAATTTGGGCCTAAAGGTGTAATTTCACTTATTTTATTCAGTGGTTTAAATTTTAGTTGCCAGTATTTAAAATTTAAATGTCAACATAAAAAGATTTTGGGCTCCCTGAAAAAGGAGACAGTCTGGCAACACGGGCCCCTCTTTCCCATGTCAGAGTACCTGACATTGTAATTGGACAGGACATAGTGATTGGAGTGTCAGGGAGCCCTGCAGATGGTGGGTGTGCTAGTGCCCGCCTCTCCCTTTGTTTCCCCAACACGGAGAAGTTCTTGCCATTCACCATCTTACACCAGCCTGGTGATCTTCTGGGCCCTGTAGGTGATGGTATTGGTGACCCATTTAGGCAAAAATGTCTCCCTCGTTTTTTAGACATTGCTGTGAGTTTATCACCTTGACTTAGAAACTACATATACCCCAGTAAGTGGGAACATTTTTTATTTGGACTTCATAGTCTTGCCTGAATGTTAGAGTTAATTCACATTCCTTACCACCTTAAAGGTGTTTTCAGTTTCCATGTATTTTTATCATCTCCTAGTTGACATCCTTCCCTCTCTTACATTTAACCCAGCTCTGAAATAATACTGAGAATCAGAGTTTAGTGCTAGAACTTTGGCTGTAGTAACAGAGTCCCTGTCCAGTTTACTTTTCACAAGAACTGCAGTTTCTGTCCTGATTATCTTATAGGATTCTATTACCAGTGTTCATCAGATTATTTGGGCTCCTTTGTTTTGTGTTACTATGAAAAGAATATAAGATTTTAAGACTGGGGATTAAGGGAAATCTATTAAAGGGGCCATGTACCCAACTGATCATAATTAATGAGATCCTTTCCCTTTGTAGCTGAGATGAGCGAATTGAGTGTGGCACAGAAACCAGAAAAGCTTTTGGAGCGCTGCAAGTATTGGCCTGGCTGTAAAAATGGAGATGAGTGTGCTTACCATCACCCCGTTTCACCTTGCAAGTAAGTAGCATCAAACTGATTTAGGTGTTCAGGTTAATGTCTATAGCTTATCGCTTATTTTCTTCTCTATGGATAAATTTCAACAGCTTGTTATAGTTTTAAAACTAAACGCAGTGGCACTTGCCACAGCCCCCCCAGAACAGTATACCTCTGTGTCTGTGTGGTTGCTGGGCTGCGGGGGAAGGGAAGATGGGGAGGCTTCGTGGTGCCTCAAACCTGGGAGATACTGAGATTTCTGGTTTCCTTGAGGGTTCTGTACATAACTGCCCTCGTTTGTATGTACTGTGTTCATACACACATACACAGATTATTTTGAAGAGTTGGGAAAATTTTAGTTAACAGTAATGAGAAGATGTTTTGGACTTGGGTTTTTTTTTTTTTTTTTTTTAACCCACTGGCTGGTTCAATGTAATGAGCTTTGTGAGAGGATGTTTAGAAGAATTTGTTTTTTAGCCCTGTAGGTAGAATTTCTCCATGTTCTAGCCTCTTTAAGGAACTTCTGATGTGGGAATAATATGGACATACTTACTGGGAGACCATGGGATGGATCTCTTTAGTTGTAGCATGGTGCCTTGCACATAAGATATGTTCACTGTATTTTTTGGTTTACTTCATAACAGTTACAAACATAAGACTTTGAATAGAGAGTAAGTGGTGTGATTTTATCACACACACAAAAAAAAGCTTTTGCCTTTCATGGTGAGTTGGCTTGAGCTGAAAAAGTTTGGTATTATCCTTGGCTCTGGAATAGACAGTTGTGTCCTATTTGATATCTTGCCTCATTTAAAAATGGAGTATCCTTTTTTTCTGTTACTTCTGTGTTTCTCAAAATAAGCAGTGATGATAGTGTATAAAAGAGCTCTTAAGTGTGAATACTACGCTTTTTTTTTTCAGAGCCTTTCCCAATTGTAAATTTGCTGAAAAATGTTTGTTTGTTCATCCAAATTGTAAATATGACGCAAAATGTACTAAGCCAGATTGTCCCTTCACTCATATGAGTAGAAGAATCCCAGTACTGCCTCCAAAACCAGGTAAGTGACTTTGTGCACTACATTGAGTACAAAACGGAAAATGGTGTTTTGTGAATGTAAACTGAATTTAAAAAAAAAAAAAAGTGTTAGAAATCACTTTGACAAAAAATCAGTTAATGTAACCAGTCTTTAAAGAACAATTATGTCTGTCCTATAATATTCTGATGTGTCTTATCTTGACTAATGTATAAACCTTATTCTATTTTAATTTTTAAAATGGTTCCCACCCCCATAAAAAAAAAATCACTTGATTTATATCAATCTTTGTCCTTATTTTCATCAGCAGTTACAACACCAGCACCACCTTCTAGTACTCAGCTCTGCCGTTACTTCCCTGCTTGTAAGAAAATGGAATGTCCTTTCTATCATCCAAAAGTAAGAACTTTTATTTTCCCAGCAATCAACTTAGTGACAACTTCTCAATTCTGAGATCTGGAAGATCACGAGTACATGTAATGGTTTGCATTTTTTCCAGTTCAACTTGTTTGTCAGAGTTTGCTCGATAGCCCTTGAGACCTTTAAGTTATTCCCTCGATGTTACTGTGCCCCAGTCTGGCCTCTTAGGCCAGGTGTCCTGAACTATTTAATGTTAGTATCCCTAAGCTCTCAGGAAAGGGAGCTCATCTTTATTAGTCACATTTTCCATTCTTCTCTTCCCCTAAGCATGAGGAGGGTGTGTTTTTACTTTTTATTTTACCTAATGCCAGAACTGAGATGATGAAGTCTAACTGTACTGCTCAACACCATCCAAGCTTGTAGCAATAGTTTCAGTGTGCTAAAGATTGGTGTGCTGTATCTCTACTTGTTCAGAGTGCCTCATCTCCCCAAGAGAGCAGCCGGACGACCATATGAAAGACCCTCACTTCCCCCAACTGTAACTGGGCAGAGAATAGTGACAGGTGTAAATGATGCTGGGCCGGGTGTGCGAAGATGAATACTACATTGGTTAGAAGAAATCTGTATGTTGAGGTTCCTTTTGAAATTTCATTTGCTGTGATCTGACTAGGATTTTGTGTCTCAGCGGGGGCAGGGGGTGGATTTGTGTCTTGTTCATTTATCAAGGCTTCAGTAGTCCTAACATGACGGGCAGTATCTCTTGCGCCATTTCTGGTTAGGGTGGGCTGGGTACTTGCATCTCAGGTTGTTGTGGGTTTACTTGTATTAGCTTTGCAAATGTTGTTGAAACAACACTGTCTTCAGCACTGTAGGTTTAACACTCAGTGTACAAGACCTGACTGTGCGTTTTACCATCCCACCATTACTGTACCACCACGACATGCCTTGAAATGGATTCGACCTCAAACCAGGTAAAGATTAACATTAGTTTTTCCAGTGTTACTTCAAACACTTTTTCCTAATATAGGTGGGTGGTTTCTCAAATTTATAAACTCATAAGTATTGGGGAAACTGCAAGCTAGCAATTTGATTTTTTTCTGCTGTTTAATTATACAAGGGTCCTTTGAGAAATAATTTGTTACAGTGACCAAATTTTGTTTTATCCAGTGATTGATTACCTAGATCATCTCCGAATCAGATTTCTTTTACTCCTGATCATCCACTATGTGAGCAAATACAAAGGCCTTTAGGAATACACACACACACACACACACACACACACACACAGCGTATGAATATCAGATCTATCTTCCTAGACATTAGCAATTATAAAACATTGAAAAGAAGTTTCAAAATATTTTAGTGTGGCCTATAAGTTTAATTATGTATGTTATTATTATCTTACATGTACCTTACATAATTGAATAATCTTAAAAATCTGATATTTACATTGTAACTTGTAGACCAAATACTCACTGTCTGAAAATATTCAACTTTAGCTGAGATATATGGTATGTATGGATGCAAAGCAGTGTAACATTGTTGGTTCTGTTTATTCAGTGAATGACACCCAGTCCTACCCGGCAGAAGATCGTGGGTTTTGAAAGTTGCCATCTACTGATGAAAGATATTCTACAGAACTTGTCAAATCTTTGAAACCTGGAATATATTGCTTTCATAATATCAAGTTTATTGCCTATCTGAAGTGTCTAATTTTTCAAGCTTGTAAGGTGTTTAGTGGTTTTAACATGGAGTGTTTTTTGTTGTTGTTCATTTTGTTTGTTTTTACTATGAAAAGACAGTTCAAGGAAAAGCTAAAGTCTTTTGAAACGTGTGAGGCATGTCTGTACACTGCTATTTTAAGTATCAGCATTTGTAATGTGGTATTTTTCAAAATCCACTGTGAAAACAGAAGCGTGGCCGGAAGTGTTGAGGTGGCTTACAATAGTCATTCAGTTCTGTTTGTTTTTTCTTTGTTGTTTGTCTTTTAAGTGAATTTACTTTGAGAAGCATACAGGCCTCTCAGGTTGAGTGCCGCTTAGGTAAAATGGTTCCTCACCTTCTGGGAAAGGACTAGAGAGGTAGATGTGTAGTGTGAAAACTGTTGGAATGGCAAGTATAAAAAATGTGAACACTTCCTTAAAATGCTTTCATTTACTATTAACATATGCTCTTTAAATAAATATTTTGGGGAACTACATTATCACAAAATTATACAAATTTTTTTACAAGTATATATATATATCCATAAAGTATCAGAAAACAGATTTTAAACTCACAAGATATAGCCATACATATATATACTCTTACATTCTGAAAAAAACATTCTTCGAAATAACCTCACAGAAGATACACTTAGTTACTACTAAAGATAATTTTTGAAATGTAAAAATTAGATTTAAATAGTATATTTTAAATGACAGCTATATAATTATAGAGATCGGATGGGTAAACCTCAAAATAGGACTAAACTTCTGGACTGTTGAATTAATATACAGAGTTTTGTGTGTATGGTTTTTAAAATTGTTAAGGCAAGAAGTGTCAAATGCTTTAGAATTAAATAACCAATGGATCACTGATTTAAAGATACATACTTTTTTTTTTTTTTAAATTAAAGCTACAAAGTAGTTAGAAAAGAATTAATGCAAAATGGATAATACAGACTTAGACATTCTCAGGACCAAATTAAATTAGTGCTGTTTTAAAAAAAAATTCATTGACTTGCTTAGTCGTGAAGCCAGGGGACATAATAAAACCACACGTGTAAAAGAAAGTCCACGTTCAAGAGCATAAAGCCAGCAGTCAAAGGTTTTGTGGTCTTTTGGTTTTCCAATGGAGAGGAAAGAATCAACCAGTTATTAAACCATTCTGTAAGTTGCACTTTGCTGTGCTGATCTCAAAGACTTGACACGTGAGGAAAGACAAAGCACACAGTAGCATAGAGCTATCATGTCGTTAGGCTTAGGTGGAATGACAATCCTACTTTCTTTCAGAAGAGTTTACTCCACTGAACTTAAGGCGTTCATTCCAGAGTTACTAAATTGATAACGCTTTACTGTCTCTGCAGAAGTAATTTGTTTTAAATTTCTGAAAATACAGACTCTTTTTATTATTTATACATGGCATACAGTTGCATTCTTATAGTTCTACTATAAAGAACATAAATGGAAAAAAAAGGGCTTAAGTGGTTTATTTTAGCCATTTTACGTCAAGGAAATAACATGCTAAAATCTGACCATTTTTTGCTATTTAACAGAGACTACCGGAAAACATTTAAGAGTGTAATGTTATCATTCAGTTGCTATGGTTTATGGACACGCTAAGGTTGACCCTAAAACTTGTGTTGGGTAATTTGGTCTAAAATGAACCACCATAAAAAAGGGTCACAAAAAGGGATGGGAACGCGTGTGGCTGACAGGCCACAGCTTGTCCCCGAGGGCACAGTGTGTTTTGGCATGCATTGATACAGAGACAGCAACCGGCACTCCAGGTACCAGGAGGCGGCTCAGGTTACCAATCCAGGAGCTTAATCAGGTACTGTGCACAAAAATAATTATCTGAGTTTAAAAAACAGTAATACAGGGCAGAATCTAAATGGCCTACTACATTTATTAACCTTCCCTTGGTTGATGGCTGGTACAAGCAGGGTGGTCAGTAGGTGACCTTTAATCATGATCTTCAGCTGTGAAACTGATTTGTGCCTGAGTGAGTCTGGCTTCTGCCAGGTTGGCCACTTTGAAGAGCAAAAATGCAGCAGAAGCGATTTTATTCTACATAGTTTCTACCTACACACTAATGGAAATGGAGTTTCTCTTTAGCCAAAAGTTGGCAAACTTGACCCATAAGGAAAATTTAAAACTGCAACAGCCTCAAAAAATGGAGTATTTTTATGGGAGTGTAGTGTTTAGGATATTTTTTTCCTTTAATTTACTGACAGAATGGAAATTTAATATTATGTATTCTAAAATTCAGCTTAATTTAGGAGAACCCACTTACGGGAATAATGAAAGATTATTATGTTTCAAGCTTCCGAATGCCTTAATATTTCAGACACAGCTATTCAGAGCTGTAAAACTGACGAGGTTCAATCACTGGTGAGGCTTTCTGTGATATAATTCAGTCGCATCTGTTTTTAATACTCACAAATATTGGACATAGAAATTAGGTATTTGGAACTTTTGTGTGTCCTGTCAAAACAAACGACTTTCCAGAAACCCAAGGGAAGGGGTCTCTTATGCTGCAAAGATAACTGACACGAGACCAATAGTGCATCTTCAACTTCTTCACACTTAGAAAAATATATATATTTTTAATAGCAGTCTACATAATTTCCAATCTCCAGGAAACTACAGGTAGACTAACAGCAAATTCCTGGATGGTTAGGACTGATCTTTGGCAGCATTTAAGGTGAACAGGAGTAAGAATCTGAGAGTTCAGCCTCAACACACCACAAAGGGGTTGTAATGACAAGTCTCCCAGATGGACCTGTATTCATTCATTTTGGATGGGATCTATGGTATGGTATACATCTAACGGAACAAATTTTTCCAATAGAAAAAACTATAAAAATTTTATTCCAATAGTTATTAAATTGTATAACTTTATAAATGTGAACTTAATCCTTTCATTTACATGTTAAGCAAATGTTTATATGAGATTATACATCTACCAATATATTGAGTATTCTCTTCCAGTTAAATGCTACTGCTGCCTAAAACCTTAAAAACTGTACACCATTGGAAATGACTGTTTATCGTACTGCTTTTCCACTAATGAGGCTACTATCATGTTTTTTCAATTATAGAGATGGCTTTTGAACATAAGATTGACAGTAGCTCAAGAATGAAAATACAGTAATCATACACTACTACCTTTACATCTATTCCTGAATTCAAAACTGCCAGGAGAAAAGTGTCCTTTATAAAAAGCTTTATTAATGCTTAAGAAGCATTGTACTCTCTAAGTAAAGCTTGTGTCTGTCTCCTTACGGAAAACAATATTTGCCTTTTAAAAACTGATCTTTTATAGTGGTGGTGGTGTTTCACTGTGGAAATGCAAGGATAAAATATTTCATTAAACGATGAACCTTGAAAATAAACTATGAATGCTGAGAACACAATTTTGCTTTAAAAAAAAAAAAAGAGAAATTATCCAAGTTGGGTTTTAAGCTTTTGGTTGGTTGGTTTGTTGAGGTGCTGCCCTCTAAATCTGCCCCGCAGGTCTGCCAAATTTGCAATCTACCCAAAAAGAAGGGCTGGCTGTTACCAAGTAGGCATTCAGTCTTTCCTCGAAATTTAACTATCTGGCAGTGTATGGATTATGGAGAGTTATCCAAACTGAACTGCAAACATTTGGAACTTATCAGTCTTCTATTGTGATTCTGGGCCTTTCCCCCCATTACAATCTTGGGTTAGCACCACTTGACCAAGCAGGGTTTTTTTTTTTTTTTTTCCTCTGTAATCCTGGTCTCTCAAGGCTGTTAATTTACGTAGCATTTTCTCGGCATCCGTATCTTTCAGTGAGGCATATGTACACATTTCCAGACAAATAAACTGCAGTCAGAGAAAAAAATTGCAGTGAGTACATTATATTTCTAGATTTTCAGAACAGTTTAATGTTTTTCAAATGAGCTTTCAAATCACATGTGTAAAATTTTTCCTCAACTCCTTTGATTCTGTATTTACATAGTATAGGACTTGGAGTAACCATCTGGTTATGCTACCTTTGGTAAGGCTGATTAGCTGAGTTCATAAACTGAGGTTGTAGAAGAATTTATATTACATCTCTTAATAACTAGTAAGACAGTCTGCTCCTTTTCTTGGGCTGAGAAAGTTACCAACCTGCAGTCGTCACCTCCAGCACTAACAACATGCCGATCCCCACTGGTAAAACGGATGTTAGTCACGTGGGGTGAATGACCGAAGAACCTTTTGTGTTTTGCCTAAAAAAAGACAATGAAAAATGAAGCTCAGGGCATGTGATGCACAAAAGGGTCAAAGGTTCCTTTATACATACTCACAAAGTACAACTCGATTTATATTTCTACCATTATTAAGAGTGCCAGAGATCACTACAAAAATCTTATTAGAAAAAGTGGAGGAAAGGACTGAGAAGAATGGGATATTACAGAATTAAAGCAGAAATAGTGACTAGTCAACAAATGAACCATAATCTCTTATTACAAGGGCTCTGAAGAGAGAAGGGAGGACTGAAGCTAATGATTACATTGCTATTTCAGAGTTAGAATGGATCTGCACTTAACACAAACCTGGTTATTTGGGCAGTCACGTCTCCAGATACTCTGAAATGTTTTTCTCTGAGGAATCTGAAACTTGGCTAATACACTGATTAAAGGTTTGCCAAAAGGCCAATCACAGTTTTCTTAGGATGATTTCCAAAGATAGTATTACTGGGGGGAAGGAGAGGGAATATTTCAAATAGCTTTTTAGTTCAGGGTAATGGATCTAGAAGTAGGAAGTTTGGAAAAAATTTTAGGAATACAGGAGAAATTTTAAAGTATTTTCAGATCAGGACAAAACATATTTTAGCTATCAGCTCATGAGGGGAAAAGTACTAATGTGGTCAGTAATCTCAGCTGGGAGTAAAATGATAGGAAATACTAAACTGGACACAGACTTACAAATTTTTCAGGGCATGGGAAGTCAAATAACTTAACCATGCCGAAGTCATCGCCTGTTACAAGGCTGATTCCTGAATGAGAAACGCAGGCACAGTTGACGTCGGCTTTATCAGCATGTCTGGACCAGATTCCCATAACTTCATCTCCCAGAATACTAGAGGGAAGAAATAAAACCAACCCAGCAAACACAGGTTTACTCTACTGAAAGAAGGGAATTTCTTGGCAATCTCTAAGTCCCTAATCATGTTATTTAAAACACAGGAAATAAGGTGGATGTTTGGAGGCCTCTCCTCCCTCTTTAATGAAATTTTATAATTTAAAGGGCTTACAGACTTAACCATCCTATAACAATTCAAATAAATACTTCACAAAAAACAGATACCAAGTATTTTTTAAAAGTGATGCTGATGATATGGGAGTTTGATAGCATTTTTCATTTTCATTGATTAAAAGCGGATGCTCATGGTTACTAGTCATAGCCAGCAAATCTGAGCCAATATTTAAGCTTTCATTTTATCTAACAGCTTCAAGATAGCATTCCTTTAGATAGAAAAATAATAGTTGCCAATAGCACCACATATATTTTTATTACCTGTTATTAAGCCTAGTGTCAAGGAAAATATCGGGGTATCTTTAAAGTCTAACTTTGATTTCCTTTCTTTAAAAGACAGCACACCCATATAGCACAGAATGGCCAATCGGAAAGGACCCCTGCATGCACAAACCATTATCTCTTCCTAGGAAGAATTCAAAGTATTGTAACAAAAACCTGAAACTCAATTACTATTTCCTACTGTTGAGAAACAGGATTTCCCGATTTTCTAACTGCCCTCAGTTCTTCCTTTCTGAACAGATGAAGCATTTACCTAGTCCACGTAGCCCAAGTAATTCTGTCAATGGCAGCCTGATCCAGAAGATGTTTTCCTGAAGGCACTTCATAGACATGCCGTTTATAGCAACCAGTGGAGACCTTTCATCATGTTAAAATGGGACAAGAATTCCATTATGTAAGGTAAAATAAGCAAGAGGTTTATAGTATACTGGCAAAATGCTACTTGATTTACATTTCTAACATTATCAACACAAAGATCACTACCAAAATCTGTTAGAGAAAGTGGAGGAAAGGACCGAGAAGAAGGATACTACGGAATCAATGCTAAAATCATGACTAGTCAATAAATGTGAGAGTGCAAAGCTCTGGAACTCAGGAGCTTGCAATGCATTCACTGACAGGCAATGTGAAAGCAGAACCACCTTTGTGAACTGGGCAGGTAGTACTGGTACTGTACCTGGAGATACCTGCTATCTGCAGAGAAGTCCATTTGAATGACAAAGCTCGGGATGTCTTTGCAGTAGCTGATTCTGTTAAGGGTGGGCCCCAATGTTAGGTCATAAAAATCCACTGAGTTCTCACTAGAACCCACTGCCAGGTACCGGGAATCTGGACTAAATCTGGATATGTAACAAAACGTAAAAGATGTGTCAGACCACATGAATTAGTCTATATGTAAGACCAGTGACTTCCTTTCTAGCTCTTGAAAATTAGTTATATGTGATATGGTCTCAAACTTACATAAATTTACCTGATAAGACACAACTGATGCAGAGAGTCATCTGTGTTACATGAAACAAGAAAGCTTTTATATTTTACTTGAAATTAAATGTTTCCTGAATTCTCATCTCTCAAGTCATAAGGAAGACTGAAGAACTGACACCTTTGAATTGTGGTGTTGGCGAAGAATATTGAATGTACCGTGGACTGCCAAGAGAACGAACCAATCTGTCTTGGAAGAAGTACAGCCAGAATGCTCCGTAGAAGCAAGGATGGTGAGACTACGTGTCACATGCTTTGGACATGTTATTGGGAGGGATCAATCTCTGAAGGACATCATGCTGGGTAAAGTAGAAAGTCAGCAAAAAAAAAAAAAAAAACACCCTCAACAAGATGGACTGACACAATGACTGCAAAAATGGGCACAGGTATAAAAACGATCGTGAGGACCAGGCAGTGTTTCATTCTGCTGTACACAGGGTCGCTATGAGTCAGAACCGACCCAGTGGCACCTAACAACAACATACAAAAAAATTTTTTTTTTTTTAAATCACTAACAATTACATAACTAAATTCCATAATTCCCTAAAATAGGATTCTTCCATCTGGAAAAATGGTGTCTTAACAGCAAAAAGCAGATGATCTTAACACACCTCAGGTTATTAGAACAAAGAGACACTACTTATAGCTTGGAAAACATTTTTTAAAAGACAAAATGAAGTACTATTTCACCTCATAATCATGGAAGGGAGTATGGGACAATTCAGTCTTTGGAAAATATTCCGAGTCTTGTTACGGTGACTTAGGGACACTTGGGGGGCTACGGGAGGCCAATGTTACTGTTTTATATCTTGAAGTTCTGAGTATGGTTTCATTTTTAAAGAGTTCTACTGTGTGAATAGAGTACCAGCTTTCAACAGAGCTGGATTAATAATCTACAGATCACACAGAAGTGTTCAGTAAGTGGTAGCCACTATTAAAATAGCTTAATGAAAAATACAGGTTTAAGAAAGTTTTACATTAACTCAGATTCTGGGACACAGAAGATGTTCAATGAGTATTGATTAAATGAATCAACACTCATATTCTCCAACTGAGATAATTAAGGGAATAATAAGTAGTAAGGAGATGTTTGAGGGTAGAACTTCGGTTTTCCAGGCTGACAACTTCCAAAGGGCAGATGACTCTATATTCAGTATTACAGTGGCAGATAGTTCTTGACAAGATGAACTTAGTGGACACTCATCATCCAACATTCCCTAGTGCTTGTATTAGACACTGTGGTGGGACACAGTGGACTTACAACTTAGCAAGAGAAATAAACAAGTATATATAACAGTTGTATTTCAGCATATGATTTCTGATGTGATAAAATGCTACAGGAACTTGGAACCTTTTTCAAAGGTGTAGCTAAGGAAAATTTTTCAAATGCATGCTGGGTCATTTAAGTACATACTGGAAATGCTTTTCCATTTGCTGACTAACCTGATATCATGGATGGCACATCGTCTGTCTCTCTTCTTTCCCCATATTTTTAGAGAGCTCACCAGTAAAATGATAAATTCTCCATTTTTCATTCCAATAGCCACCATGTCCCCTTCAGGGCTGTAACACACAGTACGGGCAGCATGTCCCAAATTCACTTTGTTTAACATCTTCTGCATAATAAAAGAGTCAAAGAACTACATTAAGTATAGTACTCACAGATTAAACCACTTTCCCCCCAAAATTCTCAACCTAATTCTGAAGTAGTTCTTTAAGTGCTAACAATTTAGGTCTTGCACTACCCTTTTTAGAAACTGTAACATTAAAAAAAAGTTTGTACCTACTTTATCAGCAATATCCCAGAGTCTCACTGTCCCATCTTCAGCAGCAGAAAGGAAAAAGTCGCTGGAAGGATGTGTTGCTAGTCCCCAGATCGGTCCATCCACATGACCATTAACTAAAATATTACAT